CAAATTAATTTAAGAAATTTGAAACTTCAAACATATTTCGCATAAGCAGCTTAGAGAAACCGCAAAAGAGATACTAACAGGTGACTCACATGTCCACCTAGAACCAGAGACTCGTAGAGACTAAAAAGGTGGATAACAAGGACCATTGCTTGTACCTGGGCGAGAGAAGCTCACCATCATCGGTTGAAGCGAGAACATAAATGGGGCTGCATACTGCAGTAAGGGGTCGCATAGCTACGATATTGAGTATCATCGACATGTCTTGAATCAATGAGATGGATTCTGTTCCTGCTGATAGATCTTCGGCTTCAAAGACCGAGAAGAGAGCCTAGATGGTGAGGGCGTATCGAGTCGAAGGGGATCTGAGTATCGTAAATCGATCTCAAATCAAGAATAAATCCATGCCATAGAAGCATGATATAAACACAGAGAGATTGTCCTTTGATAGAACATAGATATGCATATCACCGAAGCCAAGTTATCTTTTCTCCAAAGATAGTCGGAAGGGCAAAACGAAAATTAAAGAGAGGTCAGATACAGCGAGGGAGCAACAGATGAGCAGAGAAGAAGAACCATCGTCCAACACCGACGAGCAAGAGGCCCACCGGCGCCGGAGAAAGATAAGATTTTGGTTGCTTCGATAATCGTGCCTGAGAGCTTAGCGGCTAGAGCGAACAACACTAATCTTTTTGTTTATTTGTAACAATAGTGTTAGAAATTTGAGTGTTAAGTTTGCGTAATTGTGAAGATGAATAGAACATAGTATCCCGTCCTTTATCATTTACAAGTTCGTTAGAGGTACCATAAGTTCAATTTATTTTTTTACAACTTGATGTAAATTTAGCACTTGGTTTCAAATTAATTTGATAGTAAAATTTCTTTTTTTTTAACCAATTTTAACACAAAAAGTTAAATTCTTTGTTTTTTTTCAAAGGAAGAAGCTATTTATAGTTGACATACAACAATCGATTGACATCCGAACTTTTTAGAGATTTTTTTTTTTATCAAATTAATTTTAAAAATTTGAGTGTTAAATTTACGCAACTGTGAAAACTAACCGAACATATGGTATTTCGTCCTTTATCAGTTAGAGGTCCGTTAGAGGTGCTATAACTTCAATTTGTTTTACAACTTTACGTAAATTTAGTTCAATTTTAAATTCCTTTTTTTTTTTCTAAGGAAGAAGCTATTTATAATTGACATACAACAATCGATTAGACAAAGAAATATTATTTGTTGTTGTACCGTTTTTTGTTTGTTGTTGTTGCATCATTGGTGACATTCAGACTAATTCCCCAATCCAATCATGAACTGGTTTGAACCTATTCAGACTAATTACCTAAGTATCTAAGATTATTTTTCTTTTTTTAGGTTAATAAATGTTGGTCTCAAAAACTCAGCATATTAAGAACTTCAGAAATTATAGATTGCCGGAAAAAAAGGAAAATTTTTTAAAAAATACCACTTTTCAAGTGCCACTTTTTAAAAATGCCACATTTTCAAAATCTTTGCAAAAATGCCATATTTTCAAAATCTTTGCAAAAATGACATTTTTTCAACAAAAAAAATCATTATATCATTTATGTTTGGGTTAACTATGTTGTATCAGAGTTTAGTTTTGAGGGTTTTAGGGGTCAAAACATATTTAAGATTTAGGCTTTAAATATTCATAATTAGTGGTATTTTTACAAATGGACATCCCTAAGTGGCATTCTTGCAAATGTACACACCAAAAGTGGCATTTTTGCAATTACCCCAAAAAAACTATACACTTGATATTCAAAACTAGTCCGAACATAATTAACTAGAATAGGACCCGCGTTAAAATTCGAATAAACACATTAAAAAATTTTAATATCAAAATTTAAGTTTTAGTCAGTAACCCATTTAATTATAAAATATTTTGAAATATTTAAATTTATATCTCAAACCATTAAATTTTAATGTATATTTTAATTCTCCTGTCTTAATTCATATTATGCATGCCAAAAAATATATATACATAAATAAAATTCAATCATATTCTTAATAACAAAAACACATATTCATGCACATTATGAACTTATATTAACTATATAATAAAATCTTGTAACAATTAAAATATTATAGAGTTAAATTATCAAAAAATAAATTTCTGTGAATAATCTCATAAAAATCTATTAAAATATTTTATAATATTTTTAGTGTGTAGACTTATTTTGTAGTAGACTTATTTTGTATGTGGTAGTCTGGTAGACTAATTTTGTATGTAGTAGACTTATTTTGTATGTATATCATATATTTATTTTGTATGTAGATTTATTGTGTATGTAGTAAACCTATTTTGTATGCGGTATACTTATTTTGTATTGTAGTAAACTCATTTTGTATGTGGTACGTAGTAGACTTATTTTGTATGTAGTAGACTTATTTTGTATGTGGTAGACTTATTTTCTATGTAGTAGATTTATTTTGTATGTTGTATGTAGTAGACTTATTTTGTATGTGGTAGACTTATTTTCTATGTARTAGACTTATTTTGTATGTGGTATGCAGTAGACTTATTTTTTAATCTGTTGTTTTTCAATTTATAAAAATTCTTCTATTTTATCATTCATATTTGTTTTTTTAATTTAAATTTATGTTTTCTCTCTATTTTCTTTTTTAATTTTCTTTTTATAATTTGTTTATGTTCTTTTAATTATTTTTCCTAACTAATTGGGATTATTTGAATTTTTTTTTTACTATTTGGTTAGTTGTTTTACCAATTATTTTATTCGTTTTCTATTTTTAGTTTAATTTTTTATTAATTAATTTTAAGTTTTAATCTTCATCTAATCAATATTGGACTCATGTTATAATGTCGTCGGTAATATTTTCTTATTTGATTTTTTTTCTCTCTACTTTTTTTTACGGTTTACACTCTCTCTCTATTTTTTTTAATTGAATTTGATAATTAGTTTAAACTATTAGATTTTTGAATTTAGCTAGTATGAACTATTAGAAAATTTTCCTTATTCGTTTGAACAATAAGAAAATTTTCTTTTTTACTATTTGGTTAGTTGCTTTACAA